TGAGCGGGCAGGCGGCGCCGGTGGCCGGCCTGGGCCTGGGCTCCGACACGGAGCTTCAGATGGAGCGGCGCTTCGTGCCCGACGAGTGCCCGCGCGCCGTGCGCAGCGGCGACTTCGTGCGCTACCACTACGTGGGGACCTTCCCCGACGGCCAGAAGTTCGACTCCAGGTACCACGCCCCGAGCGCCCCGCGGACTCCCGCTTCCCTCTCTCCGCACGGGCCTTTCCCTCCCGGCGGACCTCCCCCAGCTCCGCCCCGCGCCCCCCGCGCTCCTCCCTCCGCCGCCTCCTACCCCGGGGCGCCCCGACCCTAAAGGACCCGGCGCGGGGGCTGAGCTTCCCGGCCCTCGGGCTCCCCCAGGCCTCTCACCCGAGACTGGGACTCGGGGGAGACCTTGCGCAGCGGAGTTGGGACAAGTCACGCCCTCCGTTTCTGCCCGGCGCTTTTCTGTAAAATCCTCGTAAAACGGGCACTCGGCGGGTGACCCTGGGGTGTCTGTGGTTGTGCGCCTGCCGCCCCCCTTCACTGATCCTTCCCCCAGGCCCCTCACCTAGTCGGATGGGGCTCAAACTGACGATAGCAGCCGCTAAGCTTATGGAGATAGCACCACGTGCCAGGGTACTTCCAAGTGCTCTCCGTATAATGAACTCATTTCATTCTTACCACAGTTCTCTGAGGTTGGTATTGTTTAAGTGGAGTTGATTGAAACCCGGACAATCCAAGCAAATCCAGAGTCTGTGCGGGTAGCTACCCCTGCCCTCCCTTCGGCCGTAAAAAAACCCTCCCTTGGGCCGGAGGGAGTCCAGAGCAAGCCTCTCAGCTTTGCCCTGGGGCCCTGCACCGTGCCCATGGTTCCTTCCCCTAACTCTGCCCCAAGATCACAGCCCCTCTCCCCGACTTCACTCCAGTTTAGCTTTAGGGTTAGCAGGCCTCTGTGGCTCCAGCACCAGGCCCTCCTCCCCGGGGCTTTGTTACCAACCCAGGTCTTTTCCTCCGGCCCATCTTAGTGAATCACCAGGCTAGGCCAGGAGAACCCGGGAACATCCGCTCTGCGCCCTAGGCTNGGGAGCATCCGCTCTGCGCCCTAGGCTGGGCTAGGCTCCTTCCTGAACTTATCTTTTTAAAAATACTCTTACCTTCTCGTGTNTGGGCTAGGCTCCTTCCTGAACTTATCTTTTTAAAAATACTCTTACCTTCCCTTGCGTTTTTTTGAAATTCCAGACAGTGAGTGAATCTACAAAGCTGTTTAGCATACTATGAGGCATATGGCAAGTGCTTAGAAATACTCATTCTTACTGTTGTTTCAAATTTTTTTTTGGAGACATAATTCACATACCATTCACCCGTTTTAAAGGGTACAATTCAGTGGCTTTTAGTATATTCACAGAGTTGTGCAACCATCACAACTATCTAATTCCAGAACATTTTTTCACTCCAAAAAAGAAAAGCTAGACCCATTAGCAGTCACTCCCTTCCCCCCCAGCCCTAGGTAAGGGCTAATTTACTTTGTCTCCTAATGGAATCACACAATTGGCGGTGCTTTGTTTCTGGCTTCTTTCCCTTAATGTTTTCAAGGTCTCTCCGTGCTGTGGCATATTCTCAGTACTTCATTCATTTTTACGGCTGTATAATATTTCATTGCATGGCTATACCACATTTTTTTATCAATTTATCAGTTGATGGGCATTTGGCTTGATAACACTTTGGCTGTTATGAATAATGATGTGTGAACATTCATGTACAAGGTTTTGTGTGCATGCATGTTTTCACTTCTTTTGGATATATGCCTAGGAGTGCGGTTGCTGGGTCCTATGGCAACTATATTTACTTTTTGAGGAACCGCCCAACTGTTTTCCAACGTGGCTGCACCATTTTACATTCCCACCAGCAATGCACGGGGGTTCTTATTGCACCACATTTTCCCAGCACTTGTAATTATCTTTTTAATTATAGCCATCCTAGATGGGTGTGAAGTGGTATCTCATTGTGGTTTTAAGTTGTATTTCCCTAAGGCTACTGATGCTGAGCATCTTCTCATGACCATTTGTGTGTCTTCTTTCATTTGCTTCTTTAGTTAGAAACAGGGAAGAGTTTCCTGCTTGTGCTAATGGTTTTTAATAATTTCCACTAGAGCAGGGGAGGAAAATAAGCTGGTGGAGAGGAAAGGGGAGTGGTGGAAGTGCTGGGTGATTTCCACTTGCCTTTCTAGTTCTACTTTTCCCGGTCTAATAACACAAGGGGGTTATATCAGCGACCCCCTTGTCATCTGACTTCTGATTGGGTTCAGCTGATGGGGTGTCAGCAAAAGGATAGAGGGAGGAAGGTGAGTAAAGTGGAGATATTTATTCCCAGGCTCCCTATCTGTAGAGGCTCGGTGGGCACCTAGCTTAGCTTCTGTCTGGTGCCCTGAGCTACCATCTCTGTCCCTGGATCCTTCAGGCCCAACTGTGACAAGAGCAGCCCTCCTGGTCCCCAGGGGTACTGCATGCCCCCGTCTTTTCTCTGCACCCTGCACACACACATTTTGCACACAGCCCCTTTTATTAACCTTTCCTGGAACTGCCCAGTTTGCATGTATCATCTGTATCCTACAGGACCCAACCTGGGGCAGCTGTAAAAGGCGTCAGTCAGCCACATGCTGGGACAGGTTGTATAACTGCCCGTCCTGGAGCTTCATTTTCACGGCCAGTTCTGGGCTTGACGCTGCACACGAGTGTATGCCCGTTGTACTGACCAGCACAAATTTGCTCAGAACAGCTTTATTTTTCCAGAGTTTAAAGCAGTAAATAAGACTGGCCTGCCTTGCATTGTTAGTTTCTCACATATGTAAATTACACATTTTCTTTTTAGAAGGGTATTTTTTTGTTTTTAGCACTTTGCTTAGGGAGTCATCAAGTGAATTAATACTTCGAGGCAACAACAGTTTTTATATATCATCTGGGGAGGCCCTGTGCCTGGAGGGTAGGAGTTGAACTGCCTTGGGGTCTAGCTTTTCCCCCCCACTTGGCTTACCATGTGAGCTTGGGAAATTTTTTCACCTCCTAGGAGCCTGAGTATCAGCACCCACCTTAGAGGGTTGTGTGAGGGTCCAGCGAGGTACTATATGGAACAGCTTAGTTTGCCTGTGTGCCCAACATCATAAACGCTCTCTGAATAGTTATTATTAAAAATTCTCTTTCAGTTTGGGAACTAGATTCAGGGGCTGTGGATGAAAAACATAAAGTAGTTTTCCGCCTGTGCGTAAATGGCAACAGGCTTTGAAGCATTGAGTTCTGGTCGTTATTAACATAAACCCGCCAGTGTGATGGTGGTTCAGGGCGAGGCGACTGGCCACGTGGAATTCCAGAGCTGGCATTCAGGGGGGCAGGGGTTGGTCCTCTGGAGATGGAGGGTTGAGGTTAAAGCCATCCAGGGTACAGAGCTGACCATGTTCTTTTGTCCTGTGGCTTGTTGGCCTGAACTTGGAATTTTGTTTTCTGTCCACTGACCTTGGAGAAAGGAAGGCTATTAAAATGGGCAGTAAAACTGGGAGGAAAAAGGGAAGGGGGGGTTGGGTTGAGGAAGCTGCCCTGGCCGGTGGTGAGGGGGACTGTGCTGTTTCCCCAGCTTTTTTTTTTTTTTTTAAAGAAAATGAAAAAGGTAGAAGTAATTTACTAAATAAAGAGCAGTGCATCCTAATGAGGTAAATTCCAATAGCTGTTAACATTTTATTACACAAATATTACATGATCATTTTGAAAATTAAGAGAGAATAAAAGAGAAAACAAATCACCTATAATCTACCCATAGATTACCATTGATAATATTTTCATGTATGGCCTTGTGGATTTTTTCATGTGCATCTATATATATATGAATTCAAAATGGGATTATTTTATACTGTGGCTTTGTAGCCTGCACTTTTCTCTTAATGAGTGTATCTTTTTGTGTTAGTGAATAGAAATCTGGTTGGGTTTTTTACAAATTTTTAATTGAGGTATAATTAACATATAGCATTAGTTTCAGGCATACAACATAACGATTCGATATTTGTGTATATTGCAAAATGATCACAGTGTAGTTAACATCTGTCACCATACAAAATATTTTTTCTTGTGATGGGAATTTAAAAAATCTACTCTCTTAGCAACTTACAAATATGAAATAGAATATGCAAATTATTAACTGTAGACCCCATGCTGTATGTTACATCCCCATAACAGAAATCTGTTTTTATTTAAAAAATTTTTTTGGTTATTATTATTTTTCAAAATAGTAATATTGATTCAGAGAGAGGAAAAGAGAGGGAGAGAGAGAGATAGAAACATCAATGATGAGAGTCACTGATCGGCTGCCTCCTGCACACCCCCGACTGGGGATCGAGCCCGCAACCCGGGCATGTGCCCTGACCGGGAATCAAACCCCAATCGCCTGGATCCTAGGTCAGTGCTCAACCGCTGAGCCACCCCTGGCCAGGCCACAGTAATTTTAAAATTATAGCCCTGTTCTTCTGGTGTCAATAACTCCTCTGTAGGCTTTTTGCTTTGCAGTGACCTCACTGTTCGTGGGTGCATTTTCACAGGTTGGTTTCCCTAAGGGAAACATTATTTCTTCTTCTTTCTCCCTACCTTTGGGTGCTCAGCTACGACAGAGACTCCACTTTCAACGTGTTCGTGGGAAAAGGACAGCTGATCGCAGGGATGGACCAGGCTCTGGTTGGGATGTGCGTGAACGAGAGGCGTTTTGTGAAGATCCCCCCGAAGCTCGCTTACGGAAGCGAAGGCGTTTGTAAGTTGTCCTTCGTGTTTGTCAGCACATCTGCAGAAACAACCAGAACGTTCGCAGGCTGTGCGGTCAGGCCCACTGGGGAATCCTCCGAAGCTTTAGATTGGGGAAAGTAAGGAGCAGTGAACACACCCACACACACTTAGAGCTAAACTTTCTCAGGTTGATTTCTTCTAGAATGAAAGAAGCTGTTATTAACACAGGTGTAGTGCATGTTACCCTCCTTGAGAGGAAAATTTTGTTTTTTCTCTTTTCTTTCGATTTCATTTGAAGGAAAGGGGGAGGCGTGGCTCTTTTTGCAGTTGGATGCCCACGTCTACTTGACCCCTCGGCAGCATCCTAGGTGTGTATCTGGCCTGAAAGGCGGCAGCTTCTCAGTGTGAACCCTCTTTCCTTTCCAGCTGGTGTGATCCCCCCAAACTCAGTGCTTCATTTTGACGTTCTTCTGATGGACATTTGGAATTCTGAAGATCAGGTTCAGGTTCACACTTACTTCAAGCCCCCGAGTTGCCCTCGGACCATCCAGGTGTCTGATTTCGTGAGGTATCACTACAATGGGACGTTCTTGGACGGGACACTGTTTGATTCCAGGTAAATCCCACATTCATATCAGTGAAATGACCCTGAATTCCTCCGTCTCACCTGCCTTTTTTATTTTTATTTTTAATTTTTATTGATTTCAGAGAGAGGACAGGAGAAGGAGAGAGAGAGCTAGGCACATCATTGATGAGAGAGAATCATTGATGGGCTGCCTCCTGCATGTCCCACACGGGGGATCGAGCCCACAACCCGGACATATGCCCTGACTGGGAATCGAACCGTGACCACCTGGTCCATAGGTCGACGCTCAACCGCTGAGCCAACACCAGCCGGGCATTACCTGCTCTTTTTTAATCTTCCCCCGAGGATATTTTTTCCATTGCTTTTCAGAGAGGGTGGCAGGGGGAGAGAGAGAGAGAAATATCGATGTGAGAGAGACACATCAATTGGTTGCCTCCACATGGGCCCTAGCCAGGGCTAGGGATAGAGCCTGCAACTGAGGTATGTGCCCTTGGCCACAGTCGAACCCGGGATACTTCTCTAACCGCTAAGCAAAACTGGCCAGGACTCACCTGCTTTTTATACTGATGGAGAAACCAGAAAATGGACTCTTCCCAGTTTCCACCAGCAATGACTTCTTCACTTAAGGCTTTTGGGGAATATTTTGCTCTCTTTTGCGCCAGAGTCAAAATTATAAAACATCTTAGAAAAACCCGAGAACAGTGTTTATCTAAATGAACAGTATTTTCAGCTCTCATTAAGTAAAGGGCCCTCTTTACCAAATAATTTGTGCATTTTTTGGTTCATTTCTATAGTGTCTCCATGGAAGGAGGAGGGGAAGGCTGCATGTATATGAATTTGGAGAAGTGTGGGTGTAAGGTGCTAAGTGGGGGAAGTGAACTCTTTCCTCTCATTCTAGTGTGTGTTTGATTAGGCAGAACAGGCCTATTTTTGTGAATGGCTATGGCTTAATTACATGCTTTTTATAAATTCTAGGACGTGGGCTCTGTGATTTGGAGCAAATATCTATATATGCTTGTCTTTCGGGATGTGGATGGGTTCATTGTTCAGCTGAGATGTGGGTAACAAGAAGCCCTGTTGAGGGATGAGCTAGAAATGTCCTTATGGTATGGAACTTTTCCCTTTCTCCTTGGTTTTCAGTCATAATCGCATGAAGACATATGACACCTACGTGGGAATCGGCTGGCTGATTCCTGGAATGGATAAAGGGCTGCTGGGGATGTGTGTGGGGGAAAAACGCATCATCACCATTCCTCCCTTTCTGGCCTATGGAGAAGACGGAGACGGTAAGTCCTTCTCACAAGTCTTTTTTTTTAAGATTTTTTTTTTTTTTTTTTTTTTTTTTTTTTAAAAAAAAAGGGGGGG